GTGTGTGAAAGAGAAGTCAGATTACAGAAACACTGTGGAGGAACAGTGAGGAATGAGATAAAAACAACTCAAATCAGGAGAAAAAGATAAAGCAGAGACCGACATAGAGGGGAAATTACGAGTGGGAGAAAGAGCAGAGACAGAGATCCAGCACAGAGGGCCTCTTAACAAATGGTCTAAACCTGCATCTCAAATCCAGATTGTGTCTCGACGTGATTTATCCAGATTACATTTACATCTGGCAGTGTCTCCGGAGCCGGCGCTTAAATCACTCTTTTCCTCATAAATCAGATTCCCACCAACGTCCCTTTGTTACATCTACACTTTGTGCATAGCTCCGAGCTTAACGTATATTAAATGATTCCAAATGTTGCTCTGACCACCGGTGGGAGACGCTAGCTTTGGCCAAATTGATCTTCAGTGTGTTTGGTTGCATTTACACCTCCAATTTGTCTGCAGTCATATATAAATGTCTGAAACCTCCCAGGAGCCTGATGGTTACACCAGATGCAAAGAGTCGGAATAAAATGCTCAGATTGTGAGGGAAGAACCATAAAAAGCACTGGAGCCATGTTTCCATCCAAGTGAAATTGCCAAAAATGATATATAAAAAGGATTCAATTTCACAAGATTGTTAATGGTCTTAACGGATAGAAATTGTTTTCTGGTCTGATAGTGACATTTAAAGGATAACGCAGGTGTTCTATATTTTCCTTACTGTCAACTCAACAAATCGAGTAAAAACCCAACAATGTGTTTTTTTATCACTTCCCTACAAGCATAGATTGTACATTTAATAAAAACGTACATAATATATTAACAAAAAAAACACCAGGTTATTTCCTAAAACAGCTGGGCACTGTGGTTTTTAGTAAACGTTACTAAAACATGTGCTTTTGTTGGGGACTATTTTCAGCTGCGGATTACACATGTGTTGCATTAGTATTAAAGGCAGCAACGGTGTGTGTGTGTGTGTGTGTGTGTGTGTGTGTGTGTGTGTGTGTGTGTGTGTGTGTGAATCAGTTAGTCTCTGTGTTCATGGGAATGAAGGAACATGTCATGCATTGACGTGTTTCAAACTTTTTTTGGACAATAGGGGGATACGCTGTCTTGGCTTTGGATACAACTTGGTCCTACTTCATAGTTTGATCAACTAACTGCTGGTTTGGTCTTTTCATGGTATTTATTGACAGTAAGAAAAATATCTAGAATATCACCAGCCTTTTTCTTTGCTGAGTAATAATTGCCAAATGTATGCTTTTCTTAAAATAAATCGAACCACATATAACCTGAAAGGGTGATTTATGTTCACAGTCATGCTGGATATAAAAAATACTCTGAATTGTTTTCCAGGGCTTGTCATGCCATTAATGTAAATTTCACCGGTTTCCGTTCTGCTTTCCTGATTCGATTGTTACAGCTTGTAAAGGAAATTCTTTGAAGGAGACTTGGCTGTACAGAGAGAGAAACAGAGAAAGCACAGAGGGGAAAGAAGAGAGCCGAGGAGAAGGGAAGGGTCTGGTGTTGTTTATATTAGCTGCTTGTTAACTGGACAGGCTGCAAACAGAACACCAGGGAAAGAACAAGTTGTACTCTTTCTGTCTCTCTGGCAACGGTTCAGTAAACGTCTCCCTCCTTTCTCTCCCTCTCTTTCTGCAGGCCACAACCAAAGCAGAGTGCACTGTTTCCCCCCTCCTCACACGTACTTCCACAACACGTGCCTGTCATTATTTGTCCTTAAAGCTACAGACATCTTTTTTCTTCTTTTACATAATTTTTTTTTTGATCGTCCTTTGCTTCGAAAGTCACGTGTCGGCCAAGGAGGCTGATCACCGGACAGGAGAGGAGAGAGAGGAGGAGTTGTGGGCAGGAGGGACACGACAGAAGAGGGTGGGGGGGAGGGGTTGCTGGTGGTGGTGGGAGGAGGAAGAGTGAGGAAGATGTTGGATGGCGGAGACAGAATAAGGTGCGCAGTTTGTGCAGATGGGAGATTTAGCTGGAAAATGAAATATGTCTTGGAGCCGCTCTGGAGGCAGACGTTATCTCAGTGTTTGTGTTAACCCTCAGTGGGCGGAGCCAAAGCTCTGATGATTAAGTGATTTTGGACTGAAGCACAGTGAAAGAGTCAAAAATGGGAGGCAAGCTTTTAAAATGATTGTAGTGCTATATACAACTATAACGTCTCAGGAATGAGTCATGTTACATAATACTTGAATTCATTGATAAGACAGTTAATAGAAAGTTGTCTCTCCAATTTTGATATATGATTTACAGTAACCCAAGCAGAGCGAACATATTCCCTGGTTTTGGATTCTCAAATGTGAATAATTGCTACTTCAATGTGTTTTTTTAATAATTCTTAAGTGAACATTATGGGATTTTGAAAGGTTGGTTAGACAAAAAAAGCCAGGCTAAGAGAGAATGTTTCTCAACATTAATGGTGGTGTCTTCAAATGTCTTATGTCCAACAAATAGTACAAAACCCAAAGATGTTTTTACTGATTATTGCAGCATCACATCCTTGCATATGAGAAGTTGGTCAGAAAGTACCATTTAACCTTTTTTATATATATATTTTGGAACCAACACAAGAGTTCTTTTATCAATAATCTTGGTTGCTCAAGATGACAAGAACAAATGATTTGTATTGGTCATAACACATGGCCCAGGCATTTCCTCACATATGGCAATTCAATTTTGTTTTGTTGGTCTTGTATGTATTGATCTTGGTTTGCCAATTATCTCCCCCGCAATATCATGAATGAATGAGAAAAGGCGCTCTGACTCAAATCACTGTGGTCCTTTGACTCCGCCAATTTAGGCTTAACTTGAAAACCGAGCTTGCTTTAGCCTCCACAGCGGCTCTGAATGACTAAACCTCCCATCTGTGCAATGTGTCTGGGTTGTAGATGTTGACCCTGAAGCCATAACTTTGCTGTAACGGAGAGGAGAGCAAAGCGCCAGTAAAAACAGAGCGAGCAGATAATGAGTCAGCTTTCTAATTTGATACGAGCCACGGCGGCCAGCTAAAGCATTACAAAAGAAAAGCTTCCAAAGTCTTTTTTCAAAACAAAGGAAATGAAATGTCTCTAGTAGTAGTAGTAGTAGAAGTAGTTGAACAGTATTATACATTATTGTAAATGTGTATAAACTCCAGTGGTACGCAGGTGGGGGGGTTCATGGCTGCCGTAGGACAATAAAACAAGGACAAGACAATTGTATTACAAACAGCCTGTTTTTTTAAAAAGGATTAAACAGTGTTCCTTGTCAATTTGATTCATTTTATAGACAAAACCGAATGTTCCCTTTGGAGAAAAACAATTTGCTGAGGCCTCAAATTACATTTATTACCACTAAAGAGTCCATTCCTGATTTTACTGACCTACAGACTGCCTCAAACCACTTTCTTTTTGGAAGAAAGAGCAACCACAGAGGACAAGAGACTTCCTCACGACAGCATCATGGTACCCTTCTGGCTCCTCAAAACCACCTCAGAGCAACCATCAGATTTGGTCTTAAAATGATGTTTCCACTGAGAAGATGCAACATATAAGATTCACAGGTTTTCTCCTTTTCTCCCTGGTCAAATCAAACAGATGGTGTTGTTGCATACATTGGTTCGTACTAATGTTACCGCTGTTTTGTTGCTGGCTGGTCCAAGCTTGCCCTATTTATAAATAAGCTTTAAACATGACCTTTGCTCTGCTGAGGAAGTTCTGAGGAGCCCGGCCCTGTTGGTGCAGTGATTTCTTTCTCAGAAGTTTAACAACAGTGTCGGTACAGAAGACAGCAGCTCTTTGAATTATATGCGAGCTTCCAATCGCCTTCAGCAATCAGCTGGCCTTTAAGCAGGTTTTCAGTAGAAGGCTAGATGGAGTTCATCACTGTGTGTAGGTGTGTTTTAGACCTGCCATTTCATGAACGATGCCCACAGGCTTATTTCTCAAGTGTAGCGTTCATGCCAACTCCTGCAGGGATAAGGTTCTGCCTTCACACTTGCAGCAGTTTACCATTTAGAAAACTGTATAGTTGTATATTTATTCATTATGCATAATGTCTTTACCATGCACTCTAAATGGTCAGCTTGCACAGAGGAACATAACCATCATTATTCCTGCAGTGCAGATCTCCCGCTGATACTGACACTGATGCTTCACTCTGAACATTTCAACAGCATGTATATATTACAGATTAAACCCAGAAAGGAAAGACAAATTAAATCTGGATATCCGACCTGACAGAGTTGCACAATTCAAAGATCATCAGAGCACTTTTCGGGCTGCAAGCCAACACCCACACCAGCGTACCACACAGAGGACAGTGATGGTTTGAAGTTGTATTCTAAGAGGATATTGATAAAAAATAAAACCTGCAAAAAGCTCCAGTCTACAGTATCTATGCAGCGGAAGGAGATGGCATTGAAGCCACACTGTAAATACAGAATAATAACCAGTTTGTTTGCCAAGGCTGCTCAGTATCCAGGAATAAAAACTAAACTAAACTGCTATTTGCCAAACAAGGTACGATGGTGTCATTCTGAGGTTCAAATCTGATTTTCAAACAGGAGATCATCTTGAGAAGCAGCAAATTTTACTCACCTCCACATGTTCTGTAGAGGACATTCAGCCAAAAATGTTTAGAATTTTTATTCCTGCGAACGCTATGCAGCCTTAGCATTTGCTACTACATGTTAAGGCCGTATGTGAGGCCTTGTCTAATACCACTGTCTACAAAGTCAGGCTACTCTGAACACTGAATATTGAAACCAAGATTACATGTTTCTGTTTTAGCAACCGATGGATGGTTGCAACCACCCGGTGGAGGATTCTGCGGGTCGTAATGACAATAGGACACCACATCCTCGCTTCAAAACACAAACTTTTTTCGCGGTTATTGTTGTTGTATGTGTTGTTGCAGTCCGTTATCATGGGGATTGTAATAACAGTAGCCAAAGTAGAAGTTTGAAATCCTCCAACAAACGCTTCCAAACGTTTTTTTTCCCACTTTTCTTTGTTGAAAAACAGCCGAGAGTGGAGGATTAACAACATGAATCTTCTACGATGGCTACATCTGAAGGAGAAACCAGTACTAATACTCTCCTGCTGATAGGGGGCATTTCTCTCTGAGTAAGCTCATACTTCCTGATGCAGACAGGATCACATATACATAAAAAAACTAGTCATCTTGTATATTTTAACCCTGTTATACCAGCTCTGGTGTGTATGTGTGTGTCTGTATATGTGAGCTGTTTGTTCAGAGTTCAGTTCAGCAGCATTGGGCTTTTTCTGAATAGGGTTTAAATGTGTGAGTCTGCATTTAACAACCATCGCCAAGCTTTTCCTAAGGGAACTCCTGTAAATGCAGATGTGGAGGAATCCCGGTTGGGTTGTGAATATAGCTGCGCCCGTCTGGAGCTTGCAGCGTTTTCTAACTGATCGAGCTGGGTTGAGATTTTACTTAGCTGCATCCAGAATTGTTTGACATCCTTATCTAACATTGTTCATCTTGAAAACCAGAGACGTGTATGTGTGTTTGTGTAGATAAAAGATGTAAATATGTGGCCTTGATACACAGATCTGTTCTTTGGCGTGGTCACTTCCGAAGACAGGCTAGAAGCTGTTCCATACAGCAAAAAAAAACCCAGAGGAAGTAGATTGGACTTGCACCTCCATTTAAGTATCTGTTCATCAGACCTGGGTTAAGCAGCCCTTAAAAATCACTTGTGATGGGTATTAACTACTTAATTAATTAAATGAAAATAAAATCCCTTTTTGTTGTTGACCACAGAGCTATTATAGTTCGCTATTATTTGACCTGCCCCCTCGCCTGTTGTTCAAAAGAAATACAATTTAGTTATTGGTTGAACCCAGGGCTGATGGCCGTACTGAGAAAAGGAACATGCTCAGTAGTATTCGTGTAGGAGTTCAAACAGTGAAGCTTGCCAAATAAGGACGTTTCTAGACATACACACATTACTTTATATATATGTATATACTGTATACGATATAAAATATGTATATGTATATATATATGTACCGGTATGTATATATATATATATATATATCTGTCTTACGCTTCTTTTCGATACATTTTTAAACCTTTTATTATTTTTTTAAACGTTTTTCTTAACCCCTGAGAACACCATGGACTGCTTTAAGTACAAAATACAACTCTCTGCGATAACAACAAAAGTATATATTTTCTAAAAGAAATATAAACAACTCAAATTAAGAACATAAGAGCGCAGGCCTCTGAAGCTGGTTTTTACATTGTCATCATTCATCTAAAAGGAGAACACGTGCAGCAGAGCCATCAGAGACTAGAGCTTGGCCACATTAAACAATTACTTTTCATTCACTACACTGATAAATAAAACTCATAAACTGCATAGATACACATGGATGAGATGAAGTGGTATTAACTAGGTAATATGCTTTGTTTTTAAGTCCAAAACAAACAAATATTTTGTTAAATATATACTAAGAAAATCTTCATATTTGAAGGGCTGAAACAGTATTTGTGCATAGAAAAAAAACTTGATTGATTATCAAAATAGTTGGCGGTACATCTTATTTTGTATTGATTGGAACAGGCTACAAAAAATACCAAAATGTCCAATCAGTGTTTGTAGCCACTAATCTAAATGACTAATCTTCAACGGGACTTGCCGACAGGTTAAAGTTTTATTTACCATTTTCCATGTGTATCTATAGTTTTACTCAGCTCTCTGGTGCTCACAGTGTAACCTGGCCAAACAGTGTATCGATGGCTCTGGGCTGCAGTAATCTAGCTGTGTGGGGGGGTGGGGGGCACAGAACAGTAGGCAGCTCTCTGCACTGATAGTACGCTGTGGCTCTGCTTTGCTAACTGTTGCAGATACTTTGCTGATTAATGGCGAATGCTGCATTTACATCCTTGTTTCAGGCACTAGACAATTAAGGAGACAAGGAGCCCAGCACTGGATACACTTGGTAACCAATCCAACGGGATTTCCTTTTGGTTTGATTGTTACAAATCCGATTGATGAACGACTGATTGATCTACTTACTGATTGTTTGTTTTTTTGATACGTTTTTGGGTCGAGGTGAGGGGGCACAGGGCAAGCGACAGAAGGCACAGAGTTTCTACGGTGATTTCTCTCCAAGGATTCCGGCTTGATAAAAAAATGAACTCAGAACTAGGAAGAATTTGAAAGCAGCTGACAAAAGTCAGATCAAATATATTTCCATTTCGGCTGTGATGTGAGCAAAGGGATTTGCTTATTATGTGTGTGTCAGTATGTTTGTGTGTTTGTGTCTCTGTGTGACAATCTGAATGAGCTCCAGGGTTGGGGTCAATCTTTTTGCTATCTAAAAATTTGAAAAGCTGGAAATCTGAGAAGATAAATTGAAGAATGTAGGCTTTAGTGTACATTTTGCAAACCGGGTAAACATTATGAGAATTGAACCCAACCCTGACTGAGCATCTATTATACACACGAGTGCTTACATTACAGCTCTTATGACTAGCTAGTTGTGCTTTTCAAGGCTGAATACATGTTATCCCATGTCACCACCTGTACATATTCAGATTAGCTCTGGTGTGTAATTGTCTTTCCACTGAACAGATTCAAGAAAACAAGGACTCATTGGATGCATCTCAGGCCATAAAGACCAAGAGCGGAGCAGACCCTGAAACCAGCTTGAATAATATTAATAATAATAATAATAATGCCCCAAAGTGTTTGTTCCCAAGTCTGGCAGATACCACAGACATGAGGCCAAAAAAAGGGTACTTCAACGCCCAGAATCAAAATGAATCTGAAATTTAAACAAAGTCTAAATGAAATGTTTGTTTCCTATTCGTTAAATGTATCACATCTTGTAATAGGCTGACGACAAACTACAGTCCGGTGGAGTTGCTTAACTGTACGATAGGCAAACAGCTACATTCAAATTCCCCCCCGAAAACAAAGCAGTCGAGAGCTGAAGAGATTTTCCACAAGTAGACGTGACAGGATTTGGTTGAACAAAGCCATCCAGCCATGTTTTGTGGACTGTATATTGGGCACAGATGGAGATACAATTCGCTAGCTCAGTTCTTTAGGAGGCCAGCACGCTCCTTCTCAGCAGGTCCTCTTTCCCAGAATGCAACTGCGGCAAGCGGAGTTTGCGTCCGCCCGAGCGCGTGTCAGAATCGCTCTGCTCGCCGTCAGAGAAGTAGCCGTCGGTCTCCACAGCGTCCAGCATTGAAGCGTCCTTTCCTGTGAGCGGCATTCCAACAGACTCCAGACCTGCTATACCTCCAGTGAAGCCCCTCCCTCTGGATTTCACCTGGCGGGAGAGGCGGAGCCGTGGACCCCTGCCACGAATGATCGCCCCTGTGTCGGGCAACGTGGCCCCGGGGCTGGAGCCTGGGCGTGGGGACGAGGATGCGACGCCATTCCCCGTGTAGACGCTGTTCCACGGGCTGCGCTCCTCCGAGATGTGACAGGAATCCATCTTGGAGACGGGGGGCTGCGGCGGCGGGTCAGAGCTCCTTGTCTGGTGGGGGTGAACGTAGAGATGGTGCCGCGAGGAGCCCCCGGACCTCTCCCCTTTGCGGCCCACATGGATGGGCTTCTCCTCTGCCATGCTTGCCCAGAGGCTCTTTGCTGTGGAGGGGCTGCTGGCGGAGGAGGGGGCCGCTGCAGAGGAGGGGGCTGCTGCAAAGGAGGGGGCTGCTGCAAAGGAGGGGGCCGCTGCAGAGAGGGGCGTCTGGGGCAGGGTGGGGCTGGGGGATTGCGGAGGGGCACCGCGAGTACGGGGCTTGTTGCTCCCTCGTGGTTTTCGGCCCAGCTGAGGTGTTTTCCAGGTGGACTGCATGGAGTTCTCCATCATGAGATTGAGCAGGCTCTCCTCACCCTGCAGGAGCTGGAAGACAGGGGAAGAAGAAGAAGAAGAGAGGAAGTGAGAAAAAACAGGGGATTGGAAATAAATAGGAGATGGGGGATGAGAGGATATGAATCAAAAGGAGATCCAGGGAATGTTGATTAGAAAAGAAGGGATGGAAAAAGGCTGAATCAGTTCATGTTTAAAGGTGCAATAAATACACGTTGGACACAAAATGTTTATGACATATCTGGATTATGCACTTTGATCAATAGTAGGGCTGCACAATGTATCACTTTTTATTGTCATCACGCAAGACTGCAATATTGCAAAACTGCAAAAACTAAAATAGTATCAATAGAAATGTGCATTTTTTAAGGTGACTACTGTATCTACTGTATGTGTTCAGTGTCATTTTCTAGTTAATGTTAATTCATGTCTTTTATTTAACAAGCTACTTGTTGTATTTAAGCAGTATACCGACATCAGCAGAAAGACAGAACTGACTACATATTATAGAAATATATCGGTTTGTATTTATCGGAAGTAATATCGCATTTGCTATATTCAAAAAAGTTATCACCTATAACATATTTCTCACATATTGTGCAGCTCTAAATAATACAAAAACGAATTTGCCTGTCTAATTTAATCATGCTCCTTCTTCCACTAGTGTGATCTGTGAAGTGGTGCTGAAATTATGTTTAGCTTGCAGATCACTTTTGGTTGTATCAAATCAATTAAAAACTTAAATTGCTGCATTATCACAGTAGCATCTAATGTATGTATCAGAAATCATAACATTAAAGTCAACTCAGAAACAGCCGAGACGTCACTCCTGCTGCTGAGGGCCTACCTGGTCGGAGAGCAGGCTGCCGCTCTTGTCCCGGTGCTGGGAGCCCAGAGCCCACTGACTCAGCATGTCGTCAGCCGTGATCTGAACCGACTGGGCGAGCCAGCTGTCAAACAAAGAGTTGTCCAACGGGAAGGACTTCGACAAACCTGTGGGGCGGGACATGAGCAGGGAGAGAGGAGGAAGCGAGGGATGATAGCAAGACAGAGGCATGAGAGAATTGGTATGGATGAAGGGGAGAGAAGGTGGAGAAAGACAAAGTAGACAGGTGAGGGGAATTGAACATTTCTCATCAAAAAACACAACAAAAGACATCTGAGTGGAAAAGAATTGGCTCTCAAATGAAGTCAAGAAGTAAAAAGCATATAACAGCACCTGCAAAGCAAAGCCCTAAATCCCACAACTCAGCGTGTGTGTACAGCATTAGCTTGACTATTAATTGTAACACATTGACCCATTTAAAATGATAAAGACTCAATTTGGATGATTTTACGAAAACATTTAACATTCGAAGCATGAATCTGAATTATGCAGTTGATAGGCGTACACAACCTTGTGGGTCTCTTTGCCAAAAAAGATGATGACATATTTAAATGCGGATGAAGTCAATATAGTCCAAACTGATGTTTAGCAGAGAGATAAAACAAAAATAACCTGTTCCTCAATCTTGATTAAGTTAATCACACAATAAGTAAACGGTTTGTTTATGGTAACTATACCAACACCTCAAAATGAATATAATTGAAAATGTTATGCAACATCTCTTAATTGATGTTAATCTCTTACATAGCAACTCTAGATCTTATTTGGCCTCATTCAATTTATAAGTAGAAACACAGAAACTACTCTAAGTCTGTCAGAAAGAGAAAGGACACAGCTCAAAATCCAAACAAGCTCTTGCTGTTGCTTCCTCAATAATGAAGATATGAACCATAAAAAACATTTACAACAGAAATCCTGTTTCCTTCCCACCACTGTGTGTGTGTGTGTGTGTGTGTGTGTGTGTGTGTGTGTGTGTGTGTGTGTGTATGTATAATTAGAAGATTTTTAAGGCTCCTTTCTATCAATGTGGGCTGCAAAAGCCAAAGCATGTCTTTCTGTGGCAATTTCTCATACACAATCCAGTGAAGACTCTTAGGCTTAGGGAGAACAGAGAATGGGGGGGGGGGGGGGGGCTTTCACTCCTCTATCTTCTGGTGGCATCTAATTGAATCCGAATTCAGTATGGATCACAACAAGTTTTTTCTGAAACCCAAATGTATTTATGCTTAGCTTTTGACAATTTTAAGTAAACATTTTTTTTATATAAAATAACATTTTTGCATATAGATTACGTGTTTGGTATGTAGCCAATAAAACCTAAACGTTTTACTAATTGCTGAAAAGAAGAGAAAATCAATATTTAATGTTAGCTAGCTAGCAACAAACACACTGAGTTGGTAGTGTGCCATGTTTTGTTCCTTTATAGATAACACAACTGTCAAAACATGTTAGCGCTGGAACCCCAGATAGATACAGATTAGACATGAACGCTGATTTGATGAGAATTTGTGTTTGTAGTTTCTTAGAAAGAGGATTTTTACAGAAAATGGGATGATAACAGTGAGACTTCCACTTATTATAGCACTTTTGGAATTCTACTCTACTATTTCTATGAATAACTATTCCTGTAACAACAAAAGAACCCTGCAGAAACAACAACCATGAACAATCAAATGTTTTTTTCCTCTGCTGATAAATCTGTCTGTGATGAAGGATAACAACTTTCAACAATTTCAGACCTATCAGAAACAGAACTGCGTGCAAAGTAAAACGCTCCTTGTTGTATTTGCAGCTAAATCAAAAATGATCTTAGGCTGCAGAGGAGGTATTATCTAGTGAATGGATGCAATTTAGTTTTCATACTTAGCAAGGAACAACTATTAACCTCTGCAACCAGAACCATGTCATATTCACTCTGGGGAACAACCCATAATGTGATATAAGCAGAGATGCCAATTATGTTACAAATAACTTGCACACAAGCACATTAGGAGAAATACTGACAAGAGCTTGCATATTTTCCAGGTTTGAGTCTATTCATTCCTCATTTCTCTACCATCTTTCCAGCCTCTCTGTAAATCTTCAGTGCTTTTAATGATCTGCCAAGCTGGTCGGCAGGAGGTGCTGTTAGGGTGGCTTTCACAGCAACTATACTTCACACACACACACAGAGACACACAGACATGAGCACACACACCGAGCCGGTCGTTTCCATGACGCAGCATGTCTCTGCAGGAGTCGGTAGATCTCAGAGGGAGGGAATAGGTGACGGAGGGAAAATAAAGAGCCAGGAGAGAAGTGTGAGGAGAGGGGATGATGGAGGACAGTAATGGAGTTCAGAGAGAGGAAGGTGGGAGGGGAACATGTCACACTGTGGTCTTTAGATATGTTTAAACTCTCACATACTCTTCATCCTGATATTTATTTTACTATGAGAAAATATTTACACAAGCAGCTCTGTGAGGCTGTGCTGAGACACAGCAGTGCTAAGAGTCAAATGCTAACATTCTCACAATGATCATTTTAACATTTACCAAAATGTGTGTTAGCATGCTAACATTAGCTAATTAGCACTACTGCTGAGGCTAAAGGGCCTGTTGTCAGTTTTTAGTCATAAATATAAAAGGATAAAAGGACAAATAAAGATTCGACCTGATGATGTTTATCAATGAAAAGTCACAGAATCTCTAAAGTAACTTTATTAATTAATGAGGGAGACATGAGTGACTGTACCAAATTGAACACGTTTTTGCTGCTGTTTCCCCAATACACAGTCAAGGATCAGATTACAGTCATTTCAGCATAATGGGGAGGCTTCTTAGTTATTCATTCAGCTGTTGCCAAAAATAAACACTTGCATTAAATTCTCGCTTTCCCACAAATTCAATTTACTTCCGGAAATAAAGAAAGTTGATAGGCTAAGCTGATTAACAGGATAGCACATGATACATCTAAAAATGTATTTTTTTCTCAAATCTCAGTGTCATAAAGAGTTTTTTTTTATTGTTTTCTATCTGTATTTCCCTTATTGGCAACACAGTATAGTAGTAAAACATTTTTATGAATGTTATTTTAAATCAGTTTGAAAATAAAATCTGTATTCTCTCTGTGCATGTTCTCTTTTAAACAGTTATGGGAGATTATGAGATGTTGTTGATGTTACTCATCTGCTTTGTTTTAAAAACAATTGTACAACATGCCCAAATAAATACATGTCCAGAGGAAGCCTAATAATAGTGGAGCTGTATCTTTTAACCGAATGACGACACTGACTCCTCCTCCTTCGTCAGCTACAGCTAACATGTTGAACTAATGGGCTACTGTAGGCTAATGCTATGCATCGAAAGGTGCTGTTACAGCCATCCGAATCCCTTGTTTAAGGCTTTGTTGCACGACAGCAACAGTTTTTGTTCCTCGTTGCGATTGCACACTAGTCCTACAGCTACAAAAAGCCCCAGGATGTCTTTAGAGAACAGCTGATGTAGCAGTGAGCAATGATTCACTAGCCAGCAATACTAAGGCAGTGCAGGGTAAGGAATGTGCTAGCAGCAGGACAGGGCCAAGACCAGGCCTGTGCATGAGAGAGTGTGTGTGTGTGTATATGTGTGTGTGTGTGTGTGTGTGTGTGTGTGTGTGTGTGTGTGTGTGTGTGTGTGTGTGTGTGTGTGTGTGTGTGTGTGTGTGTGTGTGTGTGTGTGTGTGTGTGTGTGTGTGTGTGTTGCTCAGTCTAAAGCCCTCATTACAGTCTGAGGATTGTTCTCGGGTGCCAACCGTCTGCCTGGAAACTCAACCAGAAAGACAGAGATAGAAAAAGAGAAAGTGAAACAGAGTGTGCAGGAGGAGTAACAGCGTGATCTAAACACCCATCAGAGCGATGAAGGGGAGACAAGAGGTGCAGCAGGCAGAGAAACAGTGAATTAAATAGGCTTAATACCTGATTAAAGAGGTGAAAGACAGTCTAACACAATAATGGGAAGCAGAAAAAAAAGCTCAGCATGAATCAACAGAAATAAACCTGTCTGGGTTCTTCTCTTTAACAAAAGGGGTGTTTTATTGTCTCTTAGCCCATTATGTCAGATTGATCACACACTATTCTAATCTGTAATTTGGCCTCATTATCGTTTTGGCCGCCTGAATGAAATTGAACATTTTCAGTTCTTCTTTGCCCTTCAAGTGAATGCTAAATAACATATCCATCCTGATCCAATTTAAAATAGATTAGAGTGGAACCTTGAATGTTAGAGTTTGTTGGGTCTTCCAGAGATGCTATTTGATAAACAACAATAATACATAGAAAAGTCTATCACGGAGGATTCCTATTTCACTGATTAACAACAGCCTGAATGATCTGGAGCTAAGACCTAGACAAGGCTGTTTACTTTCACCATCAGGCACAACATTTGAAGAAAGGTGGACAGCCTATTACCGTTGATACAAAATATCTCTAAAAATGCACTTTTTTTCCTATATTTGATAATGAACAGTATAAGAGGAAATCATCTAGAGTGTTTACATTTTGCTTTGTCTCAGAAGACGATTCTTAGTCAGGGAAATGCTTATATATAACATATTCATATCTAGCCCTTGTTGTTCAACCTATTCTTTACTCAAACACATATTCCCATTACTCTGCACATTACTGCTTTTGCACTTGTAGTCAGATGCTAAACTGCATTTGTTGTGCAATGACAAGTTGTAATAAAGCTCCTGCTGGGACATGTGTCTGAGCACCGAGTTCACAATGTTCTACAAGCTTTCTTCGCATTATAAGTAATACATTAACAACTCATCAGGCAACAATTGCTGAAACAAAAGCAAGATAGTACTCATAAGGACTTGGCATGGTAACAAAAGGGTCGCCAGGTTCAAGTCCGAGTTTGGGCTGGAAGCTGAAGAGGTGCCAGTTTGCCTCATGGCCACTACTGAGGTTCCTTGAGCAAAGCACTAAAGCCCCGAATGAACCAGGGCGCCGAACCATAGCAGCCCATTCGCTGTGACACCTTTAAATCAATGCATGTGTAAAGGTCCTGTTTGTGAATATGTGCATGTATGTATTTTGGACCTTTGTGTTTAATATAATGTAAATCATATATTTCCCCTCTGGGAT